TGGAATCAGAGCTGCTGGGTAATGGGAAAAGGTCTTTTTTTTGATACTTGAATAATCTTTTAAAAAATACACTGATGAGTCATTTCTTGTGTGTTGACCATACTGTGCTTGTTTTTGAATGATTTTTCTCCTCTTGCATTCATGGGTGTTGTAAAGACCACCATGACCGTCCCTCCACCATCGGTGATCGTGGACTGTCCACGGGAGCACTGGGCGGCCGTGAACACAAACAGAGCAGAGCACTTAGATCAGCCACTGTGTCTGTCTGAATGCTACTCTGCTCCTGGCCTGGTCCTCGATTCTAATTTTGATCCAGAAACAATCCCTAAGTCAGCCTGTAAGATACAGGCTGACCTGGAAGTCTGGCCTTGGGTTTCCGAAGCTTCCAGATAAGCTGGAGCCAGTGGGTTTCTAGGGAGTCCTGGACAAGATGTGCTTATTTCCTAATTCAGAAGTGATTTTTTTCTTTGTCATTTTAGATTTCCTGCCCAGGGTGGGTTTCAGGGCAGTATTTATGAAGACATTTGTCTCGTTGTTTTTGGTAATTTTCTTAAATCATTTAACTTCACAAATATCACTAATAGCCACTTTCCTGTTATTACTTTTGTTCAGATGCCCTAGATTTGGAAACCAGTAACTGGACTGTAAGTTTCTTTAGGGTGTGAACAGGATGTTTTACATTTTGTATTCCTGACACCCACCGCAATGCCTAGGGTAGAATAACTTCTTGATAAAGGTCCACGTCTAGAACATGTGGCTGAGTAAGTGGCTCTGAAACTTATCCCAAGGTCATGGTCCTTATTTTTTCTTCTCCTGGCCTTCTTGTTTATGCTTCTTGTTTTCATCTTAGACCCAAGTCGTAGGTGATTGCCAAATCATGTGTTTGCACTGCTTTCTGAAACTCCCCCTACACTCTTCTTCCTCAAATTTTGTTCATTTAAAAAGAAATACATATTTTTTTCTTTTTGGGCTTTGTCTTTCGTATCTTAAACGATTTTTTTTTTAATTTTTTTAAAGGTTTTATTTATTTGACAGAGAACACAAGCAGGCAGAGAGGCAGGCAGAGGGAGAGGGGGAAGCACACTCCTTGCTGAGCAGAGAGCCCGATGTGTGGCTCAATCCCAGGACCCCGGGATCATGACCTGAGCCAAAGGCAGAGGCTTTAACCCACTGAGCCACCCAGGCACCCCCCCCTTAAATGATTTTAAACGTTATTCGTATCTCTGATTCTTCTGTTATCTCAGGTTCTCTCTGGGTGTTGCGCCTGCTGACTCTTGCTTCTGGCTAATTTGCTTCCACGTGAGTCTTGCGGCTCAGGCTTGTGAGCTCGTCTTCACTGGGGGCTTAGCTGTGGGCGTCCTAAGTTGCTTGTATCGAAGACATGTCTCTTCACACAGGTTTTGTTTCTTCTTGACATCCTGCGGATGTCCTTGGCCCAGAACCAATTTTATGCCTATTTTTCAGCTTGAAAGTTCCTGGGCTGTGCAGGTATTATGAATTCAAAACCCCAAACCACATGATGACAGATTTGGGGAATGCAGGTGCTCAGTGGAGACACTTTTATTCCCCTGTCAGGAATCTAGGCCAAGGCACTGCCTTTCCATCTACCTGTGAGAGTGTCTGGCTTTTTTTTTTCAACATGAATTCATTTCAAGAATCTTTCTTCAATACCACGTCAAGGATTTGTCTCCATGTGAGGGTGTCAGTTCTAGTTCTTCACCTCATCTATCCTGAGGTGCTGGGCAAATGATATAATCTCTCCCTAGTTTTCGGTCTAAAAAAATCATTATCTTTCAAATGATGATAATAAGACTTAACAGCAAGTGTCTAAGAGATGTGTCTGCTCTTATATGGATGTTACAAGATTCAAGTAGTAGAATAGATAAAAGGCATTTTGGGAAAAAAAAATTGAAGCACTCCATAATTAGGTTTTGTTTCTTCTTCTAGATACCATTAGCCTAGAACACATTTTTGCTAGTATTATTACTAGTATACTCTTTTCCCCAGACTCCTTGCCTTCCTTTTTCTACCATTGCATCTCCTTGTCCATTTGCCTAGCTTGTGGTCAAGTAGAGTGGACTCATACTTAGGCAGAGGACGAATGGCAACCTCCGGGCTGATTTGACCTACCTGACCGAGGACGGTGATTACTGTGGCTCTGTTATTTACCTCTCTGCTCATGACCTTGTCTATCACGCAGGTTCCTCCATAAAGTGCTGGTGTTTGTAACCCTTCATCAGTAGTTACTGTTATTTTAGTTAAGTGCGTTGCTTTTTTAGTTGAGGTCTTGGTAGCACGTGAAATTAGCACATGAAAATAGCTCTGATACTTTGGAGAACCAAAGAACTGCTACCTGAATACAGATCTTTTTTGTAGACATAGACAGCTACCTGTGTATGGCATGTCACTGTTGGTATAGTTGTTCTGGAAGCTTTAGGAAACATTTAAATGCATGTCAACAGGGCACCCGGGTGGCTCAGTTGGTTGAGCAACTGCCTTCAGTTCAGGTCATGGTCCCAGAGTCCCGGGATTGAGTCCCACATCAGGCTCTCAGCTCCACGGGGAGTCTGCTTCTCCCTCTGACCTCCCCCACCCCATTCTCTCTCTCACTGTCCCTCTCTGAAATAAATAAATAAATATCTTAAAAAAAAATGTCAACAGGAACGCTGGTAGTTACAATTAAGAATTTTTACTATGTGATCTCACATGACACACACCCATTTTATGTTATAAAATCTTCAGTTTGAACAAGCCGTGTCATAAAATGGGCCACAGATTCAGCAAAGCCAGTCTTATAATGACAGACCAGCCAGTTTTAGATACTGAGGTTTTCTTGGCTTTTTATTTGAGGCCAAGCTTTCAAGCAGAGCATTGACTTTGCTTTAGGTCAGATGAAGTCATAATTTGGGCTGGGTTAGTCCTTGTTTAAATCACTTAGGTAAGGTTTAATTTGTTGAACCAAACCCTGGAACCAGTTCAGTTGACAGAAGAACATATAATTATATAACTTTTGTCACAAGACTCAAGAGAAATGTTTCATAGATACAGTGGGGATTTAGAGAGAATTTAAGGGTAAGATGGCAAGTGCTGTAGAGAGAGCAAAACAGAAAACACTTATGAACGTCTAGGGTCCATTCTTCATATAGTTCTTTGTGCCAGTTAATACATTTGAAATGTTTTTCAAGTTTTCAAATACTGAATCTCTATTTTCACAGAGAGTGTGACTTAATGATAAGAGGATTACTGTGGTTGTATATCTTTCAGAATTTTCTATGGCATACCTTTACTTTATATGGAATCGTTACATGACTGCCCTCTTTCCAGTTACTGTAATAATCGCCTGCAACATACATACATAGATGATGTAAATTCCAATCTAATTCAGACTTCTCTTTTTTATCCACTTAAGAGTAAGTCCAACCCTTCCTGAAACCTACTTGCCAGGCCTCCTAACAGATAGACTGATTTGAAGATATCTCCTGTCTGCCATCTGTTTTAGATGTTAATGAGTCACAAAATGCCCAAAAGCAGTAGTCTGAAAGAGACTGAGAAAGCGCTGAGGACTGGAACTGTCGGAAAACAGAATGGCGTCCTTGGGCAAATCCGAGGGTGGTTGGGTAGGTTGTGTAATCAAGCGATGACAGGACCGATGATTAAAATCAACAGCAACTTCACTGATCTTGAAACTAAAATGCTTGCTGGTTTTAGGCGAAACCTCAAGGACGTAGCCTACAAACTTTGGTTACGGTGTGGAATGGTCAGGGAAGTTTGTAGAAGAAGCAGTTCACACGGACCTGTTCAGTTTGGCTGATTAACACTGAACATCGAGTTTTCTGCTCCAGTGGGGACAGAGAGGAGGAAGACCAGTTCTTTCCCCCATGGGGTTCTTCATCTTGGAGGGAAAATATCGCACGACTCTCTATGCTCACGGCAAATCAGCTTTGCCTGGAGCTCTCGGTGTGCTTGGGCCAAGCTTCGTGCCTGCCTAGGGCTTTATTTACTGACATTATCTTGAATTCTCTCATCAGAGATTCCAGTTTACAGATGGAGAAGCAATATTTTTCCCCCTGCATTTTATCGTGTTAACAACACAATATGTTAAATGCGTTGCCAAGGACTGAGACTGAAGACTGATAGGAAAAAGTCCAATCTTGGCTCTGCTATATACCTATGAGGTCTGGAGGAAATTTCGTAATTCATTTGAGCCACAGTTTTCTCTTCTGTAAAACAAAGAAGCTCTCAGCTTCAACGTCAGTATTCTCAGAAAGGCCTTGTTCTTCCTGTCTAAGGAATCTTGTTCCCATCTCCCTAGTCACTGGACCCCATTACCCTGTTTTAGTTTTGGGATAGGCTTTATCACCATCTGAGATGATGTCACGTGCCTTTGGTTTCCATGAATACTGGCAGCCTCCCCACTTGAAGGTAAATTTCATGAGGGCAAGGACTGAACCCCAAATCTGGTTCATGGCACGTGATAGGCATTCAGTAAGTGTCACATGAATGGGTGGTGAGCTAGGCAACAGTTCATAGAGATAGAAAGTAGAAGGTGACTGTACTTAATGTTTGATGTCCTTGTGAAGAATTCCGCTGTGTTCCATTAGAAAGAAAACAAATCATTGCATGCTTTGAACACTGCTGTTAAGGTAGGTAGAAGGGTTTGAGTTTTTCTTTCTGTGTTTTTGTTTTGTTTTTACCATAAGGAAGGTCTGAAAATAAATTGAATTTCTTATCCATTGCGTGATAGGCTGTCCCTGACCCGAGCAAGGCTCCAACAAAAGGAGCAGGGAGACAAACACAACACACAGACACAGGGCAGGATCTTGTGTACCTGTGACTTTGGGAGATGCAGAGAGAAATGTATACCCAGAGCTCACCTGAGTAGGTTTTGGCCTTCACTCCCTCCTACAAGCATTAACCTCAGAGTGAGTGACGTGTTTTACTCTGCCTATGGAAGGCACCGCCAGCCTCCACTGACTTGCTTATCTTTGCTGCTGTTTCAGGATTCTGAGAAGCGAACCCCACTTCACGTGGCTGCGTTCCTGGGAGATGCAGAGATCATCGAACTCCTCATTCTGTCAGGTAAATACCAGCTGTTCTTAAAAGTCAGGTGCAGATGCAAAGTTCAATGACTAGAAATTCAATCACTAGATAAACTACTTCAGCGAACCCAAATAAATTTCTTTATTGTGCTCGTGGAAGTGGATTTGACCAGTGATTTTATCAGTAGACTAAAAAACAATGCAAGAGGTTGTTCTCAATGAAAAATGACATCTTCTGTAAAACATTTATGTTGCCCTGAAAGTCTGATTTCTGATTAATGAGGCCCTGTATTGTAGATGAATTCAGTAGGTGTGAATATCTTTGCATTTTTTTCATTGTTAAAAAAAATAAACAAACAAAACTCATTCCTTAAAGCCTACACAAACAAACACCAAATGTTTGTTTGTATTTATAATACATTTAAATTGGCAAATTGTGGCAAAACAATACTATGTTTTGTCTATGGACACATGACTATGACTATGTAATAAAACATGGAAGGAAAGGAAACATATCAATTTCCAGATAGTGGTTACCTCTGAGGGGTGGTTGAGTGAGAGATATTTTCAGGGAAGGGTAAAAAAGAGACTGCAACTCTGTAAAATATTTTCTTTAAAAAAGATTGGAAGCAGATATGGCAAACATGGTTTTATGATATTATTCTCTTTATTTTCTTAAATATCTCATTGGATTTAGAAATGTCAATGCTTTCATTTTTGGAAACCTGTGTGCTTAGTACATCTCACCAAACTGGTTTCCAAAACCAGTATGTGCTTTCTCCCTTGAGTATTTGCTAGACAGATCCCCGGAATGGATCTGAGCACACACATGTGTCTTGGTGTGGATTGCAGACTGGCTGGCTTTCCCCCTCCTCCTTTTCGTTTAGGGCGATTAAAATCTGGAGGAAATACTTCTGCCCACAGACTATGCAAAAGGCCTATACTAAGGTTTTGCCTTTGTTTGCTGTAGTAAGGGGAAACTGTAGAATTCCAAAGTAGACTATGCAAAGGTAGGAGCTAATTAATGCGTGTATTCAAACAGATGTGGGGAACACTGTAGAAAAAGCAAAACAAAACCCGAGAATTGTGCTGTGATACACCAGGATGATTCACATGGCTTTTACTTTTGTCGTGTTCATGTTCTGGAGGTGGATTTCCCAAGAAACAAGTATTCTGTGCCATACAACGCGTGTGCCCTGTGCTCCTGACAATTGCACGGAGCATAGCTTAGATTTTATGTGGCATTCCTGTGTTTTCAAGAGCAGGCCTTCCTTCTGACAATTTTAAAGATGTTCCAGGGCTATGATCCAAGCAAACACATATTGTTTGGTACAGACACAGACTGTGGCCAAGAGCCAGTACACACCTGGCCGGTGGCCCCGACAGTGGAAATTTGGTCCGTGGAAGATTGTAGGCAGAATCAGTGGGGGTGTAAAATAAAGAATTTTGTGGGATGACACTGAAGTGGTCCCAACCATCCGGATGTATTAAGAGATATCTCAGACTCTCAGAGGAATGCTTAGTTCATGAACGTGCAAATTCAGAATTTTATCTTGGACTCCCAACTTTGTTTTTTGGATTGTTTGTTTTTCCACTTCTGAAGGAAGATGTTAATTCTGCAGCATGAAGTTGACCCAACTGTTTTCTTCAGACATCTGCGGGCTGCTGACTTTCGAGAAATGTGGCTTCACATCACCGTCATGTGAGATGGAGTCCAGCAGCCTCTCTTACGTGGGGCTCACCCAGTAGAGCCTGGAGAGATTGTTCCGTAGATCTCGATTGGCACACCTGTGTGGTCTCAGCATTACTGAGCTGTCAGCCTCTCTAGTATAATTTGGATGGCTCGTGCTACGGAATTTTTCCTCCTCCTCATATCAAATTAGGGAGGCTTAGGGTATGGGAGAGCATTGGGGGAAGTGCTTTAGAAATTTTACTCAACTCTGGAAGCTTAGACAAACTCTTGGAATTCACATGGCTTTAATTTCCCTGAAAGTTCCTTAATTCAATTTGTATATTAAATTCCTGAAGAAATATCATGACAGGAACAGCATGATTGCATTTCTGAGCTTACATCTGGCGCTGATGCTTCAGGGAATCCAACCAAACTGTTTTCCAATTTAATAATGAATGAGGTGCTAATGATTCCCATGTTGGACAAATAATTTAGCCTTGCCAGAATAGCCCATTACAGCTGTGTACTCCATTGTTGTATTAGCCTACGGAGCGTGGTGTAACCCAAGCCCACTCAATTCCTACCGACCTTATCTCCTAGTAGCCAGGAAGATGGAACCCTGAATGTCTCTGAGTAGAAAGGGTGGAATTCAAGCTTTCAAACTTTCCTCTTCTTACAACCGCCGGTTCAGATCCTGGCTTTATTTCCAGCCCCTGCCTCTGGCTTCTGTTTGGGAACTAGCCGAGTCGGGATTAAGGTCAAGAGAAGGTTCAGAGTTTGCTAAATCGTTTGCTGGAGATACATGAATGAGACCAGGCAAGCCCATCAGTGGCTAAGAGTGAAGTGACCAGGGTTGAGCTCCAGGAAGCTGAACACAAGGAAACGATGAGCCTGGTGATAGGACCCGATAGAGAAACTTGGGGTGCACAAGGGTTCAAGTCCTGGGCTGAAGGAAGAAAACTGCAAGTACCCATCTTCTAACATGCCACGTGTTTGTGAGGTGTAACTACTCATTAAAAATGATATTCATTAGGGGCGCCTGGGTGGCTCAGTGGGTTAAGCCTCTGCCTTCGGCTCAGGTCATGATCCCAGGGTCCTGGGATCGAGCCCCACATCAGGCTCTCTGCTCAGCGGGGAGCCTGCTTCCCCCTCTCTCTCTGCCTGCCTCTCTGCCTACTTGTGATCTCTCTCTCTCTCTCTGTCAAATAAATAAATAAAATCTTTTTTAAAAATGATATTCATTAGAACATCGGCCACAAAACAAGTGGTATTCCTGTAAAATTATTTCCTGTGATTTTGTCAAAAGGTGACTCCTTTTCTCAATGCAAATTGTTATCAGAGTAGATGGCAGGTCATTCTTTTGATTTTTTAATGCATAATACATATTCATCCTTTTGTGGTTGTTTTTGATTTTTTTTTTTTTTTTGGAGGTGTTTCTGGTGAAAGAGGGGTGATTAAACCAAGTAGTGCTGGTTTTAGCGTCCTCAGTGTGGTGTGATTATAAAGTAATGAGACGTTTTCTGGTGGGTGTGTCAGCTAGCTCTAAAGGCAAGTCCAAAGGGAGTTTGAAAAATGTTTTAAGCAATTGCTACAAACACTGAATTATCATACACTCTTCCAAGGTCGTTGCTTTGAAGGACAGGGCTCCTGCGCTGTATTGGTCTGTTTGTTTCAAAGCAAAATCAATAGCAAGCTGATTTCATTCTATTATATTTGTATTTCATTTATGATCTTTCTTTCGTATTTATTTATACAATTAAAAGTCAAATTTTGGATAACCCAGCCTTAAGAATCAGTCCTTCTCTCTGGCCTGTAAGGTTTTTCAATCCCTTAGTCTACCTTTTTCCTTTGTTTTACTTCTTCCTAGATGACAAGGCCAAGAGAACAGAAACATTGCCTCTGGGAAAGAGACTTAGTTTCCTTTACTCTTGATCTCTATAAAAAAAAAAAAAATCAAGTGGTAATAGGGGTACAATGTAAGCATACTTTGTCTATAATTAGAGTAGATGCCTGACAACTTTGAGTTGGATCTTTGTTTCTGGAGAATCAGTTATAGCTTAGCACTTTTTTTTTTTTTTTTTTTAATGTTCAAGCTTCAAAATGTCCTTGAGTAAAAAGTGTTTGCCTTTAAATCATTAGACATGCAGACTCTGTGTCCTTCAGTACACAATGGCGCCTGACAGGCAGGTAAATAACATGAAGCTTCCTTTAGAAAAATCAGTTATAAATATTCAATTCGAAACCTTCCGACGTCTCCCTCTGACATGTAAACAAGACTCTTGGACGTGTTGGACGGAAGAGGATGAGGAAGCCTGTGGCAGGGGGATGACACTGATGAAATAGGCCTTCGTCCCCGGTCAGATAACTCTGCTTTTGTCATAATAATTTTGCTGTTCCAGGAGAGGAGATTTTCCTGGCAGCTGGCTGTTTAACCTTTTGGAGGTGGATGCGTGGAGAGACGGAGACTGAAGGAAGCCACCTCCTAGATTTCTAATTATTTTTCCATTCTTCAAGTGACTTTAACACTACACACAAACAGTGCTGGTGTGGGTTGTTTGTGACACGCCCAGTGTGTGTTGCTTTGTGATACTTAGCGAGCTCAGGGTCATTTTTCCCCTTGAAAGAATTTGAATTATTAAACGCCACTTTGGATCTACTTAAAACTGGACGTTTTCAGAATATATAAATAATAATAGGAACAACAATACGATGTAAATGTATAAATTATAAGAAAAAACAATAGAATAGAATATATATTTCATATAATATATAATAACAATATAATGGCAAAATAGAGGAAATAGGCCAAGAATATGAACAAGCAATTCTCAGAGAATGAGTTGCAAATGGCCAGTAAACAAACATCTTAGGAGATCCCCAATCTCACTATTAAACAGAAAAAATTAGAAATAGGATGCTATTTTCTCCCAATCAGATTTGCAGTATTTTAAATGATAACACCAAGTGTTGATGAGGATGTGGGAAATGAAGCAGTCTCATACAGTAGCTCCCTTTGGAGGGCTGAGACTAAGGATTAGGACCAAAAGTGTGCATGACCCATGATGGAAGTCCATTTCTAACGGTCTGTCCTAGATAATGCTTGATGTTTGGATGAGGAATCACATTATGGATGGTCACAGCAGCACTGTTTGTATAAAGAAATATCGGAAACAAATGAAATACCCATCGATGGGGAGAATATCTAAAAAATATAATGTGTTTGTGTGTCGGAATACACGTGGTAATTAAAAAGAATGGACTCATACTGTAAGTGTCAACAGAGATGTCGGTTTTCTTAAATTATTGCATAATGTTTTAAACACACAGGAAGAATATTGTACTGACCACTCAGCTTAATTCTCTCAATT